ATCTTAGCAATAGAAAAATTTGAGACATCTAACCATCGTTTATCAGGAATAATCACAAATAAGCACAAAGATAGGCAAAAATTGGACAAAATTCGACAAAGTCAAACAAAAAATTCCAACAAAAATGCCTACACTTGCACTTTTTCAATAAAATGCCAATATACTACCCCCCCACACCTAAACCTTACATTGCCCTCAATGTAAGCAAAGAAAGAGTAAAACAGAGATATTGGGGCAACGACACTTCCCTGAAAACGGAGGAGGGCAGAACTGAACTACGGTTGTGGAGGGAAAGGCGGGCGGAAATCCACGTGATGGAGATACTGTGCTAAATTCTGGGCCATCCCGCCCATTTGATGCTCCATCCGCTCCATACGAGTGTCCATGTGCTGCATCTGGAGCCGAAGGGCTGCAAACTGGCTATTGGCGGAGGAAGACGGTGGAGGTGCCGCAGAGGACAGCCCGGGGTCCTCCCGGTCCATTCGAGGGGGCAGATCCACTCAAAGGGATTGTGGGCTGTGGGGTAGAGATGGAAGGTTTGCTCTTGCCTTTGTTCTTGGGTTTGGTCATTGGATATCAGTAGACAAGACAAAGGCAAAGTAATGGTGCTCAAAATATGTCAACAAATAACCAACAAGGCAAATGATCCCTAGTCACAGCTCCCAATCACAAACAAGTGCAGAAACGGATAATAAACTCACCCCACAAACTAATTAAACCTGTGAACGACAAAATTTTTCCCAAATACTACCAATTCAACCCAAAAATCAATTAATTAGATAACATAGCAAAATTTCCCCAAAAACTAATTAAACAGGCAACTAGAGTAAAAACTTTCCCCAAATATCACTGGTTGGGCACAACGTTAACCAAATAATCAACAATCAATCCACAGATACGTCACAGCACCCAAACAAGCACAAATTTTCTGTCCTCAGCTAGCAAATCAAAAATTTGGCCTCAGCTAAGAAAGTAAAATTCTGGCATCAGCTAATAAAGAACTAGTAATCTGGCCTCAGCTACCTAGTGACGGAAAAATAAAGAAAGAATTCACCGGAGGTATGGAGTAGGCAGTGGATGACAGTGAAGAGAGCAGGGGCGGGCATTGGAGTGAAGGAAGGCGCGTGACGGCCACACGCCCTGGGGATGGTGGCTGCTGGCGAGGCTGGGCTGCTTGAGAGTTGGGGCTAGAGCTGGCGAACAGGTGCAGGCGCGCGGGCTGCTGGGCTTGGGCGCAGAGAAGGAAGGCGCGCTGCTGCGCGCCTGGTTGGCTGGGTGAAGCGTGCGGCCGGTGCGAGCGCCGCCTGGAGGTGAGCTGGAGTCGCACGCCTGCTGCTGCTGGCTGCTAGTGCGCGATCTGTCAGATTGCTTGGAGGCGCGGCGTGCGGGAGAGGATCTCGCGCGGCTGGTTGCTGGGGGCGCGGTCGCGGCGGGCAGCGGCGCGATGGGCGGCGGCAGTCCTTGGCTCTGGTGTGGGGCGGCGGCAGACAGCAAGACAAAAGGAAGAAGAAGAAGGAGAAAAAGAAAGAAAAGGAAGAAGAAAGAAGAAAGAAAGAAAAGGGAAGAAAAGAAGGAGTAGGGCTACGGAAGTTTTTTTTTTTTTTGAATAAGGGCAATTTCGTCTTTTCGCCCCTTTTTTTTTTTTTTTTTTTTTTTTTTTGCTTGAACGTGACCACCTGGCGCGGGCATGCTCAACTGCTATAGAGTCCGCAGAACCTGATCGAAAATTTCCTCCGTCAGGCGTGACCATCTGGCGTGGGCACGTCTAACTACCATAGAGTCCGCAGAACCTGATCGAAAATTTCCTCCGTCAGGCGTGACCATCTGGCGTGGGCACGCCTAACCGCTATGGAGTTCGCAGAACCTGAGCGAAAATTCCTTTTCTTCAGGTGTGACCACCTGGCGTGGGCACGCCTAACTGCTAATTCCCTGCCACCAAACATCAAACCATTAATTGACACTAACACTTAACTAAAACTTCAAAAATGCATGAAAACTAAAACAAATAGTCTTGGGTTGCCTCCCAAGTAGCGCCTTTCTTTAATGTCTTTGGCTAGACATTTTCATGTGTATTCATGGAGGATAAAATCTTGTGGCTCGTTTCAGTGCTTCATCTTCTATGTAATCCTGATAGCCCTCGTAAATAGAGTAATTCTTGGGCACACGAGCTACGGGCTTCCATGGACTAGTAAATGGCACCAAACAAACAAGTGATGATCTTAAATCTTCACTCACTCCTCCATCAAGAGCACTTATTGGTTCGAGATATTTTGCCATCATGGCTCTCAATTTATTCCTGGCATGAAATTCAAAATCGTCTGGTATAATAAAATCAATCTCACTAACAGGAATTAAAGAATAAGAGTCAGGAAAGTATTGATCAAGGAATGGAGGAGATGTCACCGCATTTGGAGATTGTTCACTGGATTCATTCACTTGAACCATTTGATGTTGGGGTCTCAATTCTTGTGCTTCAACTTTCTTTTCAACTGCATCTTTAGATTCTTCTTCTTGAGACTCTTGCAGTACCATGTCATTCGTCAAGATAATTGCACTCTCATATTTCTCATGGTCGATAATAGTTTGTGAGGGCAATTCTTCACTCATTCGAGAAGCCAATGACGTTATCCTAAATGTCAATTGATCCATTTGATCTGCTAGGTTACGCCTGCTCACTTGTGTCTCCTGTTGAATTTGATATGTGTTAGTAGCTATTAATTCAACTATCTCTTCAAGAGACATACCTGACATAGATGATGATTTTTGAGACTCATACTGCTGAAAATTCATTGGCCCTGTTGTATAATCATAACTGGAGTTATCCCACCATCCTTGATCATACCCGTTTGGATTAGGGTTATACCACGTTTGAGACCAGGGTGAAGAATCTCCATAATTATTGAATGGGACACTCAGATTATCTTGATATTCGGGGCACATACCGGTTGAATGATCCCTGGCATAACAAATTTCACAGGTTGCAGCAGCCATTCTTTTTTTAATAGAGTTTATTGCCTCTAAATATGCAAACTTAGAAAAACAATCAATCTCATTGCCTTCCCCGAAAACAAAATCCAGTATATCACCAAAATACGGAGTGTTAGAAGCCATAAACTATATAATAAAAAAAAATAAGAGAAAAATAAATAAATACAAATAAAAACAAGATGAACTCAAAAAAGAAACAAATTAATCTGACACCAGTCCCCGGCAACGGCGCCAAAAATTGACAGGTGCCGAACCTGTGCAATAATAATAAATAAAACCTAACTACCACCTGAAACAGTCAGTAATCAATTCGAGTACTGGAGCAGGGACTCTAGGTGTGCAATGGGTTACTTGATTCACCCTGTTCCCGAAGAGTTTGCTTAATCCGATATACCTGAATTAACTATTTAACTGAATTTCCTAACTAGTAGACAGTGGTAAGCAGGGTCGTCTCCTCAGGGACTGGAGAGATATTTGTTTCTTTTCAAATCAAGATTAATGGGGGGGATTTGGTATCAAATGCCAACTGAACAAATTAAATGCAGAAAATAGTTTATTAAAATAAATAACTAAGAGAAACTCTAGCCAATGGTGTACTTCAGAAATGGTTCATGCAACTGATCATTGATTCAGAGGTAATTCCAACATTTACTAATAGATTGGTTATAGTTGTCTCGCACGCGCTAAACAACCAACCCTTCCTTAATTTATCGATAGCTAAGGTACGACCGTTAGCTATTTCTCTAACCAAAAAACAACCCTAGGTACGACCGTAGGATTTAATTTCCAGATTGCATTAATAATTAGAAAGGCCCAATCCTAACCAATAAACACGCTATGAGGGTTTATTTAAGCTAGATCATATATTCCCCTGACATAAACCCAATTATACCAGCTGCTACTGGGATAGAGGTAACGAACAATTACGGATTCAATTACCCCTATTTAGCAAAATAGTCTTTATGAATAATTAATTATTGCGCACTAATCAATCATACATAAGAACTATAACAATCAAGAGCAGGGAGTATATAAATACCAATAAACGGAGAAAATAATTAACAACGGCTTAGATCTCACAGTAATCGATGAACCAATTCGTCAGTTGCCCTCTTGACTAGAATTAGGAGGTTAGTTCTCCATTGAGAGTAACTCACGCAATTCCATTGAAGGAAATTGCGTCAATGTTTTACAATAGAGGAACTACTCTGCGGCCCAGAGCCAAGCGGCTGCCTTCTCTTTTTTCTTATTCCCTGGCCAAGTCATAATCACGTGAGATCCCTAGCTCCGTAGTAATCCCGCGGGATCCGGCCTTTTTCTCCTCTTCAAAGTCGGCTGGCCTTTTGTAGCCTTTTCTCCCTTCAATTTCGGTCAAAGCAATATTGGGAGACAATTGCAATGGTCCCCACTTTCCAAGGTCAACAACCGTGGCTTTTTCCTTAGTTTCCTAATGGAAATCTACCACCAAATAGAACTAGTTTCCTAAATAGCAAAATAAACCACAAAAGAAAGTATTTCAAGTTTCCTAATTCAACCATAAGACTAATAATTAGAATTCAAGTCTTCCAAATCTTCCTCTACAGCTGCCCAGAGTTTGAATCGAACTTGGAAATTGATCCCGAACGTGCCACTATCAGATTAATTGGAAGATTGCCCCTTTTTGTCACGTTTTTCTCTTTTTCCTACAATTTAACACCATTAACCAAATATAAGTATAATCCATCAATTAACGCAATATTTGGCTGAAATCAAGGGAAGAATAATTATAAATTTAACAACAAATCATGACTTATCAGCGACTATTTTTTTAAGATTATACATAAATGAATAAAGATATAATTAATTTACTCGTTTCTTGTGATAATAATTACCAGTTATATTTGGTAATTATATTTAAATATTTTACGATAACCAAGCATGTAAATATATATGTTCATTAAAAAGTTTATAACACCTTGTTACTTATGTGTAAATTAGGCTTAATATGTCGAGCGATAACTGTATGGTACTACAACTATATTGGGGAGGAAAAATTATATACGCTGCAGGCTCAATTTTTTACGATCCACCTATGCCCAAAAAAGTTCTCTTCTTGACAGAAATGGTGGGATACGATGAATTATTAGACAGAGTATACAATATCATGGGTTTAGATCGAAATAGGCAAAGGATAAATTTGATATTTCGAAATTGCCCCCAACCTGGTATTTTTGGTGCGATGCCTTTGGTTGATGATAATGGAGTGGCTGGTATGTACTACCTAAAATCTGGTAGTCGACAACCCACTGAAATTTATGTTAAAGTTGAGGAGATTTCGAATTATTGTGGCCATGATAGTCAAACATTTGAAATTGGAAGTGGGATTCAGGCCGAACCACCTTACCATTTATTCGACCCTACAAATCTCCACCATAGTCAGCTTACTCAAGTAGAGGCGGTCGATGATCTCCCGTCCCGAACAGGACGCCGAAAAGGCAATATGCGCTGCAGAGAAATTGACCGTCCAACCACCAGTAGTCGGCCAAGTATGCATAAGTCAACAATTATGGCTCATGCTGCGGATATCCCGACTTCCTCAATGTTAGACCCTCTTCCGTATACCGACATTGATTTAGTTGATGTCGAAATTGGTTCCGAGCCAGAGCCGGATGATGACAATTCTGGTAGTGACGACGACCAAGATGATGTTTATCCGGTTCATTCTATCCAAGCACGGGATCAGACGACATTTGCTGAACCTTTTCTAGGAAGTGAAGGTCCCAGTTTGCGATATGAAGCAGGAGTTGATGCTATACTGCAATTCGACCCGCTCGATACTAGAGAGGCCGAAAAGCTAAAGTTCTGGAGTGAGCGCACGAAAGAATTGGAGTTGGGCCAACTGTTCGAGACGAAAGAACATATAAAGCGAGCAGTTAAATTGTGGTCCATAAAGGAGAACAGAGAGTTCAAAGTTCGGGCTAGCACACCTACAACTTGGTTTGTGCGTTGTAGAGCCCGAAACTCCACACCTCCGTGCAATTGGCAACTTCGTGCAACTCTCCGTGCCTCTCACAAAATGTGGATGATCGTGTCACTTACACCTGGGCATACATGTGTCCGTGTGTGCAATACCAATGACCATCGGGGGTTGAGTGCCGATCTAATTGCCCAACATATTATTCCCCACATTTTGAATGGTCCGCTGTACAAAGTGAAGGAAATTCAGACTTCTGTGAAAAAGGAGTTTCACGTCGATGTGACGTACAAAAAGGCTTGGTACGCCAGACGTCGGGCCATTGACATTGTTTATGGTGATTGGCCGACATCTATTTCACAACTCCCAACATACGTAGATGAACTACAATTGTCCAATCCTGGGACGGTTGTAGTTTGGGACCATCATCCATTGAGTACAGTATCGCAGACGATTTTTGACTATATATTTTGGGCATTTGCTCCTGCTATCCAAGCATTCCGTCACCTGAAACCGGTCATTTGTGTGGACGGAACATTCTTAAAGGGGCCATATCGAGGGAAATTGCTAGTGGCGATTGGGTTTGATGCCTGTAACCATTTATTCCCTCTAGCATTTGCACTTGTTGATGAGGAGAACAATCGAAGTTGGAGTTGGTTCATGAGATTGTTGCGCATTCACGTATGTCGAGATGTACAAAATGTATGCGTAATTTCAGACCGACACCACGGGATTATCCACGCCATGCGGTGTCTAGAGGAGTGGAAAGAGCCGTTGGGGGTCCATCGATTCTGCTTGGTTCACATTCGCAGTAATTTCACTCAGAAATTTAGGAATGAAAGGTATTTTTTCAGACCTACATATGGCTAGTACAAGATTTAGCAATGAAAGGTAATTTTATGACCTACATATGGATAGTTTGATCTGATTATTAATTAATGCGGGAAATTGTATTTGTAGGTTAAAGAGTCTCATGTGGGGTGCCGGAAAGGCAAATCAGACTCGCAAATACGAGGATTATATGAGTGTCATCTTTAGTATTTCACCCGAGGCATATGCCTGGCTAACTGGTGGATCCGTTAGACCGGAGCAGTGGGCCTTATGTAAGGATGGAGGGTATCGTTGGGGTCATGCAACAACAAACATGGCGGAGTGCTTCAATAACTTGCTGCGAGAAAGTCGCTTCCTTCCAATCACTGCCTTGATCCGATACACCTTCAACCAAACAGTGGATTTGTTTGTGAAAAATCACAAGATGGCCTGGGATCAGGTGTATCACTTGCCACTGTATGGCTGGGAAAAATATGTTGCAAATGAGCAAAAGGGTAGGGCGCACTCGGTGCAGGTGTTCGATCATAGGCGGGGAATTTACTGCATAACCACTGCATATCGCCAAGCTCATATAGGTGGTCATGCTCAAACCGTTGACATTGGAAATCGCACGTGTACATGTGGAAAATGGAGAGAACTCAGATTTCCATGTTCGCATGCGATTGCAGCATATTTTAGGTCAGGTCTTAATCCGATGTCACTTGTCGGGCCGGAGTACACATTTGAGGCTTATCAAGCCACATATGAGAGTCCTTTCAACCCGTTAAGAGACCCGAAATATTGGCCTGTAGCAGAGTTGAAACTAAGCCTCCTAACTGATCGTTTGAAGCAAAAAGCACCTGGACCATTGAAGACCAGTAGAATAAGGAATGAAATGGATCGAAAATGCCCTGATGCACCGCGTCGCTGTACTAATTGCTTACAACCCGGGCACACTGCTCCTAATTGTCCATTTAGTGGTTATTTTTATAAATAACCACTGTATCAAATGTTGTTGTCCGTTCCCTTTTGAAAAGACATGTACATGTGCCTATGCTTTGTTAACTATATAATGCTAAATTTGCGCGTTTATATTGTGGCTTATTTTATTAGATGTAGATATTTTATTAATTTTTTGCAAATGAAGTAAATATATTTATAAAATTATATACACATAAATATACATAAATACATGTAAATATATGAATGTTGTTTTACTCTCATTTGTTCGTGCAGGTTAATGGAGAGTTGGCGTATCATACCCAACGCCGCCGCACAACAGGGACCAATTGATGACAGTGTTCTGTATCTACAATCCGAGCATAGGTCCGGCGCAGTTTTCAATGGCGTAGGTGCAGACCTTGATGTTAGAAGATGTGACAAAAAATTCTTTCAGCCCCTACGTAATTTGGATCCATGAGTGGCGCACTATATAGATCAAGCAGGATTTCGTGGTGTCCGAGTGGCTGGATATCTTACTGTAGACCATGGACTCATCACAGCTCTCGTCGAGCGCTGGAGACAGGAGACGCATACCTTCCATCTTCCAGTTATGGGCGAGTCGACGATAACTTTGCAAGATGTAGAAGTGCTCTGGGGTCTACGCGTGGACGGGCGTCCAGTTACACTGCATCACGTTAGGCGAACTGTACAAGAGCGCAAACATCTAGTGAACGAGGTTTTAGGCTTTTGGCCGGAAGATGCGATGCTAAAAGGTGGCCGCCTGAAGATGTCTTCTATGTACAGACAGTTGACTACGCCAGTACCGCCTGATGCTCCTGATGAACTGGTACGACAGTATGCTCGCATGTACCTATTGATTTTATTGGGTGGTCTACTATTCGCGGATGCATGCGGGAATGTTGTTAGTCTAAACTGGTTAGACTATGTTCGAGATTTGGAGGCGATGGGGGAGTACAGTTGGGGGTCAGCGACTCTTGCTTGTTTATACTCACGTTTGTGTCACGCTTGCCGTGCTTCTACTACTACCACAGGCGGTCCTTATCTATTACTCCAAATATGGGCATGGGAGCGGATTCCCAGCATTCGACCGGAGATGTATCCAGCGCCTGAGATCGGTGAATTTCCGGTAGCTGGTAGATGGGTGGCTGAACGTACAGGAGTTGATCCTCCGGGTAGGCGCAGCAGCTACTATCGTGAGCATATTGCATTGCTCCGCATGGATGAGGTATTTTACATGTTAAAACTTCAGTTACTATTTGCTAATATACCCTATTATTGTGAAAATAAATAAATAAATTTTTGTTGTGACAGTTCATATGGATGCCGTACAGTGACGAAAGATTAGCTGCACTACCACGATACTGTAGACACGGCGAGCGCATTTGGCGTGCCAGAGTTCCCCTCGTATTTTGGCACATTATTGAGTTTCACTGCCCAGATCGGGTCATGCGTCAGTTTGGACTAGTGCAAAACGTTCCCGAACCTGTTAACACAAATCCGCAAGGGCTTCATCAGTTCGATTTGTCGGGCTATCCTGGAAGGAATTGGGCACAATTCCATAGCGCGTGGATACAATATTGGAATGCTCGCGCAAATGCGGAGGTCACAGGTCAGCTTGCTGATACATTCAGGCCATCAAATGATTATCTCAAATGGTATCACGAGCACACTATTCTATATATTTCGAACCCTAGTGACCAGAATCTGCAGATGGGCCAAATGCTTCAGGGAGTCTCTGGGCAATTTGAATATCTGGTATGCATTTACTTGAGACTTCCGTCATTGGGAACCATTTTTGGAGCATAGGTGCGTTATATAATTGTTCCTAACAACTACGCGATCAATTTTTTGTTACAAACGGGTGCTATGCAGCGTATTGTTCAACAGACACAGAATGTTATCAATATTGATAACATAGGAGAAAGAGCACTTCCACGTCTCTGTACCATCATGGATGGTGCATATGGTTCGATGCAGTATCTCAGACGGTTTGATCGTATGGTTGTAGGACAGTCCGATCCATTCGATTCTGGGCATCCTTCGACATCAAATGTCCCATTCCAGACACCTGGTCGACGAGTTCCATCTCATACAGGCCCTTCGTCTAGTCGTGGTAGACAGAGGAGGCATGATCAGCACGATGGACCGACCGTTGTTGAACCTAGCGTTCAAGTCACGGGAATGGATACTGGTCATCCGCACACGCCTCCGGTTCAGCAATTCACCGCATTCGCACCTTCACCAGTGCCGGGAGTAGATCGGGGGATGGCTGCACGGCATCATGTATCTGGGGACATGTTTATTCCACAGCCAGCGTCGATGACCATTGGTGCACAAGCAACACCGTCGTAACAATTTCCTCCATTTGCTGTACCACCGACGCCAGTTGCTGGCATGTATGGATTTGATCCACGATTTCCTTCTTCATCACAATTACCTCCGTATGAGCATGTCCCCATGACAGGAGACTTTTCTTCCCATGCGGCATTACATCCTATATTCACTCTTCTCAGTGGAACGGGAGGCACTTCTTCATCGTTGGAGCTTCCAGATTATTACAGTCTCGGACAGCCATCGGTCTTCCCGTCTACCAATCAGCGGAGTTATGCATCCGATCATGTATCGACAGGAGATTTTGTCACCTATCGTTCCACGAACGATTCTGAGAGCAGCGATACTTCCGATGCGTTAGAGACGGATGACGTTGACCCTGATAGTGGTTCCAGGGATGATCCGTCGGCTCGTGATTATTCCAATCATCCTGGTGTCGTTATTGGCGAGCGTCAGAGACGACGACCGAAGAGATTTTGCTGCCCTTCTACAACGCCGAAAAATGTTGGTAAGGGTAAGGGGAAGAGCAAAGGCAACAGGCGCCCTAAGCATTGATCACGTGTAAATAATGACTATGTTAGGTAGTTATCTAATGAATGTTACTTTCCTTAACTTTAAATTTCATCTAGTTTAATTTTATTTTTCTCTAAATCCTAATTACTTAAACCTTAAACCCTAAATTCAACAAAGATCCATGGGGGCTAAACTTAAAAATAAAAAATTGTGGGTAAAAATATAATCTACACTTTTTTTAAAACATCACTTTTTTTTACTAACCTTTTATTCATAATCTACTCAAATTTAGGCTAATTAGACTACAAAAGTGATTAACAAATCTACAAACAAAAGATTATTCAGTCTAGTTTCTAAAGTTTTTAAATTAAAATCCTAAACTTAATAAATTTACTAAAACCCCTAATTATACCTGAAAAGTCAGAATTAATTCACAAAAATACGCATTACCATCATAAAGAAAGGCCAGAACTCCAAACATGAGAAATTTATCCATTTTTGGCAAATGTTGAGACCCTAGCACAATTATGCAAAAGTTAGGGGACAAATTATAAATAAAAATTATGGATTTAGATCAAAATAAGTGAACATAAGAACACATTGTATAATTTTCAGAAAATTATACAATGCCTAAAACATATAAAATATCTAAAACTGCATATTAAAAACAAAACAAAGGAAAAATAAAAATAAAAGTTTGGTCCACATTGTTTAACCCAACATTTAACATAACAAATTTGGATATTTGGATGAGGCGTCTGATCCAAACAGAAATTACCAAACAGAAATTACCTACACGACTCTAATACAATGAATGTAAGTCCAAATGAAATATACGAGTTAGTCCAACTTTAGTGTTGGCTTTTGTTCATAATTTAAAATACTAAAATAAGTCATTTTCTATTATAACCTTGTAAAACGAACTTCGTATGTTTTAAAAAATATATATATAATTATGTAATTCATAACTTATATCAAATTACATTGCACAGCACAAAACCCTAAAATCTAAAATCCTAATTCTAAAACCTTAACGCAAAAACTCTAATTCTAAAAACCTAAAACCCAAAACCCTAATTCTAAACCCTAAAACCCTAACAAAAAATCCCAAAACCTAACTGTAAAAAGCCCGTCCGCATTAAAACAATTTTTTTTTGCATATGTCAGCCGCGGACGTGCTGACTGAGCACGTCCGCCGCTGACAAAAGCGCAGACGAGCCAGTTCCTGTCAGCCAGGGACGTGCCCAGTCAGCACGTCCCCGGCTGACAAATGCCGAGCCGGAGTCAGTTCCTGTCAGCCCGGGGACGTGCCCAGTCAGCACGTCCCCGGCTGACAAATGCCGAGGCGAGTCAGTTTTAATCAGACGGGGACGTGCCCAGTCAGCACGTCCCCATCTGACACCTACTTTGCCCGAGGGGGTTTTCAGTCAGCCAGGGACGTGCCCAGTCAGCACGTCCTGGTCTGACATTTCTGTACAACACTGAATTTTTGCAGAGAACAATTTTTAGTTACGGGGCCGTGCACGGCCGCTATACAATTAGAAATAGACCATGTCAGAGCTGCATTTGACGGTTGTTTTTTTTAAATCCAAATAATCTGAGAAATTAGCCTGGAATATGTGAGAAAAACTATACAATAATCTGCGGACGAAAATTGAAGTCTCGATTACTGATCTGGGATATAGAGTGCGTCAGCAGCACCTTTATCTTCCCTTTTTGCATTTCTTCTCCTCTTCCTTTCCGATGGAGGTTCTTTTGCTTTTAGATCATTGCAGAAAGATCTTAATGACGCAGCCAGTTGACTGTTCCGATGAGCTGAAACAAGTCCAAGTCAGCTTATGGTATATGAACATCGAAAATAAACAAACAAACAAAAACAAAAACAAAAACGAGAGAGAGAGAGATATATATATATATATACTTAACAAATTGAATCAAGATGCACTCGACTTTATTTCCCTACACCAGAAATTCAAAACGTGCAGACATATGCCATATCAGAGCTTAAACAATGTGCTTCGGAATCCTTATCAGCAGCACTAATGACACTTGTTTTGTCAATGCAAGTATCACATGTAAGAGGATGACAAAATTGGGGTAAACTGAGAATATCAACGTATAATATGCTCCAATATAAATAACCTGGACTTGTAACGATGATCAATGACAAGACATGAGCCTGTTAATTGAGAAGAAGAATGCTTTTACCGTTTAAAACAATTCAGACTCTTTCTAGTCTTTTTTTTTTAGGAGACTTGCGAAAGCATGCAGCATGCAGCTAAACATTCTAAAACTGCAGGTGCACTGAAGTGCAATTAGGCATATCATTATTTTGAATAATCCAGAGACAGAAAACTCACTTCCAAAATTATGCCAGTCAACTCACCACAAAGTATGACATCTTCCATGTTTACAGATTTACGACCAGCATGCTGTGAGAATAGCTCAAGGTCCTTTGCCAACTGTTCTGCATTTCAGGAAATACTCCATTTTTAGTTCAAACTTCAACAACTGCAAGAAACCTTTTTGTCTGCAAAGGCTAAGGGTTGCATATGCAAGATGTGATCTTTAATCAATATTGGTGCTTTCAATTCAGGAATGTCAGACTAACTATCATACATCTTTCCCTCTCTGCAGGAACAAAATGCGAGCAGCGAGCAAAACTAGTTTTGTTATGGAAACTTGAAATTTGTAAATATTTTGATCCACTTAATATCCTAGTTTAAATTGGCTGAATACAGGGATGCAAATTCGCTGGTGTCGCATCATTTTAATACATTTCGCAGTGTCAAAAAACATTGTAGAAGATGAATTAGGGGAGAAGAAAATGGGGTTGATTAAGGAACAAGCTACAACACCAGATCTCATCCACTCTCATGGTCATCATATTGTTTTCCATAAAAAATTCATGCCAAGAGCAAAGCTGAAAGCTGGAATAGCTAGACATGAAATACAGATTTCATGTTTCATGGAAAAGCTGAAAAACTTAGAAACACATAAAAATCAAACCAAGATGGCCAACAATTAGATAGAGTTCAAGTCTACCTCTATCAGTTAATAAGCAGCGTAAGATGCAATTGTTGCAGAAAATTAGATGTTAAGAATATTATGCAGATTATAAGTTGGTGATCCTTGTCCTCCATCTGAAATGAACAGAATTATCCTAAACCTAATCTTCCAGACAGACCAATTGACCATGATGCAAAATTATCGAGAATCGGTCTTTGGGAGCTGCTACTTTTGTGGCCTAATACATTGAGCCTCCTTGCTCTTGCCTTTCATCATCTCCACACCCCAAAGATGAGCACATTCCCATACTGGATACATGCTGAACTAAATTGGTTATGGACCAAACTTTCAGTCAAGACGACTTCACATTTGAGATTATCTTGATTAAGTTGAAATAATCAAGTTGACTTAATCAAGATAATCTCAAAAGAAGATAAGTCAAGATGAAATAATGTGATTTTAGGAGCTCTATACAATGAACCACTTCCTGCTGAGACAGTTCCACAGCTCAATAGCCCATTCTGTGCAATCATAGACTGGAAATCCTCTACTATCAATTGTATTTGACTATACTCCAAATGGTAACCAAATGCAGAGAGAAAATACACAGAATTGCAGTAAGATGACTAGAATCAAACAGCCTAACAAAACCCAATAAAAATAGTTTCTTTCAAGCCCACCAGAAAAAGGAAAAAAAAATCAAGCACGCATTTTGGACGACGAATTTATCAAAGTTGCTCATTTCCATTATTCCTTTTTTTTGGGCCCTCCAAATAACAGGTAACCATATATAATTTTATTTAAAACTCTAATACAAGCTTAATACACAGAGAACCTTAGGGAGACAAATATTACCGGCATATTTGAAGGCTAGATCCGAAATACAAGCCATGATCGGTTGCGAAACTTCCATCCCATTCTTTTTGGCTGCTCAAAAAATTTCGAATATGAGATGATTTTACATAATATTATGCAATCAAGTATCCAAAAGCTAATTAAAATACCTTCGGCTTCAGCAATGGAGATAGTGCAGAGTCGAAATCGATCTCTTAAGATCTCATTGACTGCTTCTTCTTCATCTCTATCCATTTCGCTTTCATTTTCTCCGGCTCCTCTTTCCATTTTCGACCAATTCAGAAATTTCTTATCTAGGGTTGCTTTTTTTTTTTTTGGTTTGGGGTGGGAATTTTTTTTGGGGCCAAATTGGCCGGAATCAGCACAAAATGCGCGGGAAAAATGAAGGGAGCGCCACGTTTGAAGCAGCTTGGTTTGTTTGTGATGGGCCTAGGCCTTCTGGGCTTCAGTTCCCAACAGTGAACAAACTTTTCAATGGCCCGTAAGCAGCATGTTTAGTCAATCTACTCTTAAATTTTTGGACAAATTTTTTTTTTTAAATAATGGTTAATAAAACAAATGGTAGAAGTGTAAATAACAAAAAATTGAGTCCAAACAACATTTCTCTATAGGATAAAGTGATTAAATTTAAAATTTTTTTAAAAAACATACAATTTAAAGCATCAAAATTGAGCTTTTGTTAAAAGTGTTTTTTTACACCAAAAGCTCCACTCCTAATTTTATGGAATGATGTTTATCAAAGCGTTTCAAAAATACTTTTAACATCCAAAAATGCTTTTTAACTGAAAGCACCGCAACCCCAAACAGGTCCTAATTATTGTTACTAGTGATTCTAAGTAATGATACTCTCTATGTATACTAACGTCAAAATAATAATGTCAGCCCACATAAGATCAACTCTTTTGTAAATCGTCTTGGACATTATTCACGTCTCTTTTTTCCTACTCATTAATTTTTTCAAGGCCTCTCATCTCATGGTAGGTAAACAACAGAGAAATTGAGATTGAAACTGGCAACTTCAAAAAATCACAACTGATGCTTCACAAAATCAAGAACTTATCATGAGGTGGGTGGATTTAGGATATTGTGTTCAGTGAACGCATTGCATTGCATTGATGAGAATAGATCACATATCCTAGAAAAATCTGACGTTAACTCAATGGTAAAATCTTTTCGCGATTACTGATCTGTATCAGTGGAAGATCATGTAACTGAAGAAGCCTTGGCCAAGAAAACAGAAACGTCTACAGAATTTTGGGTATTGAATCATTAATATAGAGCTTGACAGCTACATTTTGACATGCTTCATTGAAGATCCCATAATATTGAAGATTCGCCAGTCTGTGGAGATCATTTACTTGTGCTGTTAGATAATCAATTCTTTGATTCTGCACCATGACTACAGTGCTTATTTCTGGATTTAGGGAGAAGATAGACATAGGAAATTCAGCACATCCAACCTATTTCCTGCAAATTTCATGATAGAGATCGTCAGATACAATTGTTAGCTCATCAAGTGCGGAAAGCAAAGAGAATCACAATAAAGAACGTCATTCAAGATAAACACTAATATTATATACACCCTAATACTTCTTAAAAAAGAGAGAGAGAGAGAGAATTTATACCATTTACTACTATTTATTTAGTCCTCAACTCCTGCAACAGGTAATGTTTCATTATATGGGAAGCTGATATTATTGCTTCTGTTGCAATATAAGAATCTTAATATGCTAAAGCTAAACTATCTGGAAAATTATATAGTTAAAGAAAGGACATGCCACTTTACTTCTCAACGACAAAATTATATGGTACTAAGCAATTGAAAGGACAAAATATACATCCCAACATGGTTATGCCATTTAGGAGCTTAAGAAGATATTGACTAGTTGTTTGAGGAAATTGTGCCTCCAGTGAACATCTTGGTGCTCAAACAAGGAAAAAATCAAAGAACTTTTGAATTGAATGCATTCTAAAGAAGTATTAGCCCATGTTTTTGTAGTCAATAGCCGAGAGATGGGAAAAACACATATAAGAAGAACGTGGGAAATTAGGCTCTAAAACTTGTGCACCAGTCCAGTATTTCCTGAGTCTAGCTGTTAAAAGTACATGGCTCCTGGACCAAATGACAGGCTTGAAAAAGCCACTTCCTCAGCTAGTGTACTTGATGAAGAGCACCAAGCTGTTGAAAGGACCAGTAGCGAAAATAAATCAACAAGACACCCTCGGTGGACCAAGCAAGAAACACTAATCCTCATTGAAGGGAAAAATATCGCAGAGAGTCAAGGAAGGAAGGGCCGCAGATCCAGCTCTATCTTTGTTACAGGTCAGCATGAACCCAAATGGGACTCTGTCTCATCGTACTGCAGATTGCATGGGGTGAACAGAGGGCCGGTCCAGTGCCGAAAGCGATGGAGCAATCTTGTTAGTGACTTCAAGAAAATAAGAACATGGGAGTCACAGGTAAAAGAAGAAGGTGAATCATTTTGGATGATGAGAAATGATTTGAGGCGGGAGAAGAAACTTCCAGGTCACTTTGATAGACAAGTCTATGCTGTCCTCAATGGAAACTCCTATCAAGCTGTAATGGGAATGAGTGTAGATGGAAGAGAGGCTGATGGGACATGTGTAGCAGATACTGAGGATGAGGACGAAGAGGATGTTAACAGGGGGATAGAAACGGGGGTAGTCTTTGATAGTGGTACTCATGCCAGACCAGAAACTCTAATTTCACATCTTGAGAAGTGCGCTCAGGGGAAAATTTTCAGGGGTCCAAACGTACAAGTTGCAAGAGAAAGTCCAAGAAGCAATTCCCCTACTCCAATGCCTCTATCAGGTTTGATACATGCTCAAGTATCCTTTCATCCAAGACTTCAGCAAGCAACCAACTTGGTTGATTGTTCAAAACTGCCGCCCACTTCCTTTTATTTATTATTCTACACCTTCAAAAGATATACAGTATAGGTTTGGTTAGCTCATTCAACTATATATGTCACTGTTAGACTTATCTTTCTCTAGAGCATGCTTATAAAGTTAAAATCTGATCTGCAAATTGAATCTCTCCGAGTAAATCTTCTGTTTTGCTTTCAATCACTGAGTGAGTCTTTACACGAAAATAGTTCTTTTCCCTTGAAACTGTTATGCTAACAATTGCCTCTTAAAGCAGAGAAGCATTGTCAACACTTTCATCAGGCATACTCCAACCAAGGTAAACCTAGATATCTTCATCCCATTATGTCATTTATTATTAACCACACGGAAGAGGGATGACATGCTTTATTTCTCCATATTCAAAAAATTCATGCTGTCACTATGAACTCGTAATATTAGTCAGAATTTGTATATCTAGTCTAGTTAATCAATGATGACAATTTTTCAGTTGTCTAGCATTTGTTTAACTAGCTTGTGACCCTTAGGTCCAGCAAAAGGAAAACAGCCAGGCCCACATTTCTGGACAAGAAGAGTCTCTCAGGAGGATGTGAAGAGAAGAAGACTATCCTTGGATAAATGTGAAGATTTCAACCTCAGTCAGCACTTGATCAAGGTTTTGGAAAGAAACAATCGTGTACTAAATGCACAACTGGAAACCCAAAGAATGAACTCACAGTTAGACAGAGAGCAGCAGAAGGCCCACACTGATATACTAAGTTCTGCTCTCAGTAAGATTTGCGATGCTTTTTCAAGAATTGCAGATAAGTTTTGACAAAGGAAGATAATACATGTTCTTTGCAGCACCAGTTTTTACCCCAGCATTCAACCTATGGATAGAGAATTTATTATCCTTGTGTAGTAGCAATTAGATTCCTTTACTTCCCTAACATATCAAAAGTTGCTCTAGCATTTTAATGGTATTTAATTCTCTGATGTAAAATCCTTGACTACCCAGGTCATTTCCCAGTAATGATTTGATTTTTTTTTTCCCATTAAACTGCCTTATGGTAGCATTCTGGGTCTTAATCGGAAAGCTCATACAAAGAGCACACATCAAAGTATGAATTCCATATTAGGTAGAGGTGGCAATTTGTCCCAAGTCCCAATGGGTTACCCATGCCCATGGGGACTTTGGGCGGGATGGGTATTGGATTTTGATATTGGGTTTAAAATGGGACAAATCCCAATTGTACCCATTAATTGATGGGAATACTTGGGAAATACTTGGGTACCCATTGGGCTCAAATAACAAGGGCTCTGTTTGGTTTAGCTATTTTTGGGGGGTATTTTTGAAATATTTTATTATAGCAGTGTATATGAAAAATTTTTACTATAATTTTTTTTTTGAAATATTTGATATACTAATATGGATGGGATGTTTTTTGAGTTATTGCATATTACTGTAAAATTGTATTTGAAAAACTTATTTTTTGAAAAAATAGCCAATCCAAACGGAGTCTTAGATTCAAAAATTATCTTTAACAATTTTTATAGCCATACTAGAGAATATAATCTAGTAGTTTTCCTAGTCATTATCCACAAGAATTTTCAACATTTCAGTCAATTTAGACCTGTCATTTTTGGACAATGATGATGATAAATATTCAACACCTTAAGTACCTTGGCCATCTTGATATATGTTGGAATATGACTGTATATCTATTTTTTCCTTTATTTGTTAATCCAATTTTTGATGGGAATCTTGAGTATAAAGCACTTGCATGTTTATTTAATAAAACTAAAAAAAATTTAATAAATCAAAAATATTAAAATTATATAAAAAATAAAAATGAATTAAAGGAAAAAAAATATGTAGAAAATAGATTTGGGTATTGGGCAGGATCAATCTAAACCCATCCCAAAGTGATCCCGCCCAAGTTAGTCCCAAAATACATATGGGTAAGGTTGGGCCCAAACCCATATGACTCGGTTCCATCACAAACCCAAGCAAATCCCGCCCATCCCGCCCATTTTGCCACCTCTAATATTAGGTCATTGTCACTTCGTCTTCATCTTCCTGCGGAAAATAACAAACCACGAAAGGGGAACCAGAATCAAGCATTATTTTGATGTCAAAAACCATACTAAAGAAAATGCAAACGTATATACAGCTTCAAATCACCAAGTGATGACATCTACATTCAATTATAGTCCAATGCTTTAACAAACAAAAATTGTTGAAGTTACAGTTGATACCTGATCATCAAATCTAATATACATGGTCTAGGAGGAAACAAAAAGAGACAAACAACATATGGAAATTAGAGCTCTAAAAAACTTCTGGGAGTCTCCTAATATCTAGCCGTTCAGAAGAGGAAGAAGGCAAAAATTCAGCTCTAACCTCTTGTTATGCACTAGGCAGGAACAGCCTCCACAAGCTTTGCAAAATAAAATTGTGTTGTAACTAAACCTCTCTTCCTTATTTTCCAGCCAACTTTCTGCAAAGCCCTCTCGACATCAGCCTCTGCATGTAGATATGCCCTTGTAGCCTTTGATGGTCCAGGGAACAATTCTCCAATTCTCTTCAACAGATCATAGTAAAATGTCTTGGGAGCAAAACTAAGAATCAACCGATTCTTGGCTAACGAAGCAAGATGAGCAATCATGGCGTCTGCCTTACTTTGTGGATAATGTATCAAAACATCTAAGCAGACTACCGTGTCATACTTGCCATCTAAGCTTTCTAAGTCCTTCACTTCAAATTTTGGCATAACTGGTGCGGGTGATACCTCATCTTTACCTTTCAACAGCTCTGCTTCCGCCTGTACCAACCATGGCTATCAAAGCTAAAATCTTATAGACCCCATACACTAGTATGGAGGTAAGAGTTTTACTTAATTAGACAATTGAAGATTATTCTTCCAAGTGTTAGCAAATAGGGCTGGAAAAAAAAAAGGACATTTTATCTGTACAGCGTCTTGTCGATTGGATAGTTTATAGTGAAATGATTTGGGGTCTATAACTAAACCAAAGGACTACATGAGTAAACTATAGACAGGTGGCATTGTTGATTTAAGTTACTGTAGCCAGTAATAGGGAACATCGGATAGAGAGAAGAGACTAGAGAGGAAAATATACATATTCTATAATTATATAAAAAAGAATCATGATTAGCACAAGGCACAATTTTAGGACTTAGGGATGTGTATTTACCCTATTCCGGACCCCTTTTTCTTTCATTCTTTTCCACTCTTTTTAATTGGTTATAAAAATTTCAGCATTTCATCAAGATGACTACTCATTGTTAGCATTTTAAGCAGCTAATTATCGCCAAAGAACGCATTTTTACTGAATTTTTACGAAAAAACTGGAAAAAGAAATTGTAAAGCATGCCCCCAAGAAATAGGGGAAAAAATAGTAGTTGCTTTAGCTGATCAATGCAATTAACCAATTAGCAAGATGATTAGCAGTAAGGCTCGCCTGCTTCTGAGCTTCAGCAACCATAGCAGCCGAAATATCGCTAGCCAAAACAACGGCCCCTTCCTTCGCCAAGGGAATAGCCAGCGACCCGGTCCCACATCCGGCATCACAAACAGTAACTCCCCGCAAAGACCCTTCATCCTTCAACATTTTCAAAGCATTTTCCACTGTTTTGGAATGCCCAATTCGAATATCCAATTGAACCTTAGTCACATCGTCCGTATCCCCATAAATCTTCTTCCACCTCTGAAACCCATTATTGTTAAAGTACTCCTTAACCACCTCCTTATCCCCACCGCCAACCTCCTCCGCCTGCATTCTCCGCCGCCGTTCCGGGTCAGCCAGAGAGAGCACCGCAGCAAGTGCTGCCACTGACCCGCCACCAATGACGGCGACTGTGGTTCCGTCTAAGGTAGGAGCCATCGAGACAACGTCGGTTGCCGTGGATAGTGGCGGAATGGCAGCAAATGTGAAGGATTTTCGGTGAGGTTTGGTGGGGTTTAGGGTGGGGTTCGGGGTGAAAGAGACAGGGGAGAAAAGGGCTGAGGAGAAAGCCATTTTAGGGGTCAGTATCAAGTTGGCCGCCGGCCGGAGATAGAGTCCAGTGTGCTAGTTAAAAGGTGAAGCTGTCTCGTTGGTGATGATGACGATGACGATAATGTAATCTGAAACGGATATGATTTGGCGCCAGTCGTTCTGGTGGGTCCCCTTCTTTTGTATCGGAGGCGGATGGCTCCTTTTGCCACTTTCTCGATTTAATGAATGGAAAATCGTTTTACATTTTTCAAACATTGCTACGTTTTTCATTAATATCTTTTTTAATTACCTTCTTATCTCATATATATTAAATCGTTATAGTAATTTTTTTCTAAAATATTCAAAAAATTCAATCCAACAAGGCCTAACTTTTTCGTTTCTTATTTTGAAAAATATAATTTTACGTCCCTTATAAATTTATAAGGGTCAAATTTAATTCCTATCTAGATTTCTAACTAATTTTTTATTGGAATCCATCACATGCCTGTACGTGATTATTTTTAAAGGTAAAATTGTTACATCAAATTCTACATAATCCGATCCATAGTCTCTCATATGTCACAAAATAAATTATTCTGTTTCTCATGTTTCACAAAATGGATTTTTTCATCCCTTGTTAATCTTGTGTGTGAATAGTTTTTTTTTAAAATATGTATATATCTATTTAATTTCACCTGAATATTACGAATAGCATATAATATATCTTTATTTGATTTCACCTAAACAGACTAATTGTAATTATACGCATGTTATTCAATTAATATATATATATATATGTGTGTGTGTGTGTGTGTGTGGGTTTAAAATTAACAATTTTTTTTTAAACTCATGTATATATTTATTTGATTTCATTGACAGGTGCCGAACCTGTGCAATAATAAATACCTACTCGAGAAAAATACAGATTTTGTATATAGCGGTGAGTAGGGTCGAATCCACAGGGACTGGGGATAATTCGTTTCTTCTAGAATTCAAAGTATAGGGGGTTTTGGATTAAATGCTAACTAAATAAATTAACTGCAGAAAATAATTGATTAAGAGAAATAATTAAGGGAAAACTCTAGCCAAGGGTACACTTCAGAAATGGTTCAGGCACTGATCATTGATTCACAGATAATTCCACATTTATTAATAGATTAGTTATAGTTGTCATGCACGCGATAAACAACCAACATTTCCTTAATTTCTCGATAGTTAAGGTACGACCGTTAACTATTTCTCTAACCCAAAAACAACCCTACGTACGACCGTAGGATTTAATTTCTAGATTGCATTAATAATTAGAAAGACCCAATCCTAACTAACAAACACGCTACGAGAGTTTGTTTAAACTAGATCGTATGCTCCCCTGACATAAATCCAATTACGCCAGTTGCTACTAAGATAGAGATAACGAACAATTACGGATTCAATTACCTCTATTTAGCAAAATAGCCTATATGAATAATTAATTATTGCGCACTAATCAATCATACACAAGAACTATAACAGTTAAAAGCAAGAAACATATGAATACCAATAAATGGAGGAAACAATTAAAATAAATTCGATCTCACAGTAATTGTTGAACCAAATCTTCAGTTGTCCCCTTGACTAGAATTGAGAGGTTAGTCATCCATTAATGGAGAACAACCATGCGAAAAAGCTAAGAAAAGAAAACTAAAACTATGCTAAAAGCCTAAACTAAAACTATTGATTCCTCCCCACCTCTCGTACGTTTTCCCCTTTTTAAAGCCAAAAGGAAGTCTAATGCTATCTCTAGTGGTCCCCACACCAAATTCAAAGTCTTGTACGTTTCTTTTCCTAGAGCCCAAATGACTCATGCTTCTTATCCGTGGTCCCCGCACATGTGGACAAAGCCTCCAAAGTACTTGTTGTTCCAAGTCTCTCTACGTTGCTTTCTTTGAAAAGCCCAAAGCTTGTGGTCCTCACCAATTCAAGGACCCAAAGGTTGAAACCCTTAGAAGTCTGCATTTTTCTATACAAGTCCCTCCTTTTTGGTAATTTTCTGCTTCACTCCTGAAATTGGTTC